CGCAAAAAATATATCCAATCTGAGGACAAAATTAGAGAAATCTGGCTTATTGGCCTTCCAAAATTCTAAAAATTTTCGCCTGCGGCGCTAAAAAATGAAGAAATTTTGCTTTCTGGACTTCCAAAATTCTTAAAATTTTCGCTTGCGGCGCAGAAAATGGAGGAGGGATAAAGTGGCCAAGTGGAAAATATCGGAGGAACTGAAGTGATAGAAGACTATCGGTCGATTTACTGCGATTAAGGTTGATTTAAAAAGATATCGGGGGTTTGTAGGGATATCCTGCTATATCTCTGCAACCCCTGATAACTACTATATGCTCAAATCCCTGTTATTATTCTAATCTGAGGGCAAAAATTGGAAGAAATCTAGCTTCTGCATTCCAAAATTCTCAATATTTTTGCCTGCGGCGCTAAAAGTAGGGTATTTAAATATTTAAATACCAATTTTACATCTTGAAACGGCTCAAAAAATATCGGTTCATTATCTGGAGCTCAGATCTCAAGTTATCCTCCAAATTACCTGATATCCCCGGAATCAATTTATAAATACTGATAGCCCTTTATCCTCCGTTATCTCCCTAACTCACTCGACATCCTTTAGTAATCCCATGGGATCTTTTTAAATTTACTTGATCGCTCCAAATTACATGATAATCTGCGTAATCCCCAGCCACTTCGTTAACCACCTTGATCGTTCTAAATCCTCTGATATCCTTCATAATCCCTCTAAATCCTTTATCTCTCTCCAAAACATTACTCATCCAACTTACTTGTACCTCAAACTTAATTATGACTCGCTAACTTATAGTAATACATCAATTTTTAACTGAAAAATGGCTAATACTTAATTTAAAAAAATTTTTTCTCAATTTTGCGTTCTTGCGTTTTGCGTTTTGCGTCTTGCGTTATTTGCGTTAAATTTTGGCCTTGCGTTGCGTTTTGCGTCTTGCGTTTTTTGAGATTGTCTCTTGCGCTCACCCCTGGATCGGGTGATCTTCTCGTAACACGACTTTATGCATAATGCAAGATAAGTTTCTTCAGGCTCAATGCTCTAATGTGTTTATATTTTGTTAAATAATTTTACTTGTCTCAGAATTCAATTCAAAAATTTCGGATAAATTTCTTTTTTCTAAAAGCCCATCTCTCTCTAATATTCCCTCTATTCTTTCTGCAATTTTTGAAACTTTATTCTCTTCATTAAGGAATAAACTCATTTTAAGATGTTTAAAATGAGCTTCAAAAATTGCTTTTTCAAAGACTGGTATCCATTTTGGTAATTGTTTTTTTCTTTTATTATTTTTTGAATTTGATTTTCTCAAATCTTCACATTTGCCTGGCAAATCTATTTTTATTTCTAATTGCAGGTTTCCATGAATTTTACTCGCCAATTCATATTCGAGTTGACTGAAAATTTTTGATAAGAATATTTTAATTTTTAAACTTATTAATATATTTTCTCGTTGTGGGGATGGATTTTTTATTCCGGTAAGCCGCCCTATTTTATAAAGGCAGCGCCCTCATGTTAGAGGATTTATAAAATGTCAGAGGGTTGTCCGAGATTTAACCAATGTCGGCGTTCTCCAGAATAACAGTTTATCAGGTGTAGAAATGAACAATGAAGGTGAAGGGATGGAAAGAGCTGGAAACAGACGAAGGAGATCAGTGACTAGCCCCACTAGTATCATCCAACTAGACTGACGCTTACACTGGCTTTTATACTACCCGTACATCGATACACAACACTAGGCAATCATGGATCGGTTTCTCAAGCTTTGGCTATGGAATTTTCGTTTAATCTTTGATTAAACCTTCCAAAAACATGGAAGTAAGAGATAAATAAATACAACTGGGTTCTGGAGAATTTTGCGTTTTATAATAAATTTCTTGTGAATTTCACTAGTAAAATTATATTTTTAAAATATTCTTTAATTACCTAAAAGTTTCATAAAATTCCCAAATATGGCAAATATCCCAATTACTTGCCATCTTTCCTTCTCCCTCAACTTCTTCAATAAAATTTTTACATTCCTCAATCAAACTACCAATTTTCTTTAAATTTTCAGAAATTTTTTCTTTTTTAGGCTTATTTTGTTTTTTAATATTTTCATTCAATTTTTTTATTAATTTGTTAATCAAAATTATTTTATCTTCTACAGCCTCAACAAAAACCAAAAAATTAACTCTTTTAATTTTTCCAGCTCTCAAATTGTTTTTATCTATTACAGTTTCCGTAAACAAATCAACGTAAAGATCGTTGACTTTTAAATCTTAAATTATTTAAATTTATGAGAAAAAATTTTTTGAAGGTTGAGGACTATAATTTTTATAATATTTTGTCATGAAACACACCAGGAGTGAGGAACATAGGTAAGTTGATTAATACTGGGGTAGCTCCGGACTGAGCACGGCCATAATAGGCATATCAGTTGTTGCAACCAGTGTTTATAAGCTCGTAACAAAATTCGTACTCGTAATTAGGTATGAATAAGAGGTCAAAAATGGGATGGTACGTAGTACGAGTACGAGCAAATCTGAAATTTATAAACACTGATTGCAACAAGTATAAGCTTTTAACTCCCCAGATGGAATCAAGATTTTGGAACGAACATCAATCCTTTTTTTCTTTGAGTTAAGATTTCGAACATTTTGGATTTTTAAATTTTCTATTTTGATGAATAGGAGGAATTCTGAATCCGTCTAGCTAAGGGAATTCTGTCTATCTAAATATTAATTACCAGTTTTTGCTGATTCAACGCAAAATATGTACAACAATAAAAAAATTAAAATAAAATAATTAAACAATTTCATCATTTTAGTTTTCAAACTAAAAATTAATTTCTAATTAAAAATAAAGAGTTAATGATCAATTAGAAATTTATATATTAGTTGAATAAGATGTAAGGATTAAATAATATAAGCGGTCTACCGCATCCTATAAAATAGTAAAGGATTGGATCAAACATGATAGTGACAAGGAGATAATGCTCGTTTTAATTTTGTTTTAATTGTTAGGAGCAGAGGTGGGTCGGAATTCCGATTTCCGGCGTTTTTTTCCTTCCGACTTTTGAGCCAGTTCCGATTTCCGGCTCTTCCGATTTCAGCACCTTTGACAGTTCCGACCCACCTCTGGTTACGAGGGGAGGAAACTTTGCCTTTACTTACAACATAAAAAAAATAGACTAATATAAAAAAATAATTTTATATGTTATTTAGCTATAGCTATTTAAATAAAAAATAAACACTCATCATTTCAAAATAAAAATTAAAGGGCATTTAATGTGAGACTCTCACACGACTTGCGCAATCAGTCTATTTAAAAACATGTGAATAAATTAATTGATTTTATTATGTAATTAACAGAGTTAAAAGTGCATAATTAATAAAATATATAAATAATATGTAAATATATTTTTTAAAAAATGTCTAAAAATTGAAGGGAAGATGGGCTGAAATTATTGTTTTACAGTTTTAAATTTCAACGTATTTGTCCTTTAATTAGTTTGTCTCTATTTTTGGGATCCATTAAGATCATTCAAGATACAAAATATGTTTTTTACTACTCCAGACATTGAACCCCAGTATGAGTTTAAATTTGTATCGAATCGGACTAGATATATGCTGTATGGAGTGCCAGCCTACTGAGTCAGACATTAAAATTTGTCAATGGAAACAATATTGGGATCTTTCATACATACCAGGAATCTATCATATAAACAAAATAAATTCGGTATTCGTGAATCGGTATCTCTGACAACAAGAGTTTTCGGGAATTTATTTAGAATAAAATAAAATCTAAAGGATTTGGAAGATTTTGAGGTGATTTAGAGGGGTTTGGATTCAAATTTCTTTTCTTACGCTTTCGGCGAATATTTTGAAAACTTTGAAATGTAAAAAAAGCTGACAACCATTATTATAATTAGGGAACGGATTTATATGGACTAAAAATCTTAAAATATGGACAGAAATATGGACTAAAATCCAAAATATCGAGCAAATATGGGCCGAAAACTGAAAAATTATTCGTTTCCCAAAAATGCTAGGAAAAAATATGGAAATCCATATAAATCCGTTCTCTAATTATAATTTAGTTTTTAGATTTAGTTTTTGGATTTTTTTTATGATTTTTTTCAAAAACTTAAGGCCTAATTTAAAGGCTTTATTCAATCGAAGTTTGATTGGTCTATAATTGATGTTAATCTTACTATTTTTAATATCAATTACTAATATTAATATGGAGTGAGATAAAAAAAGGTACAAAGAATAATAATTATTATACTATTTCTATTTTTAATACTACATATAAGCAATAAATTATTTATTTATTTAGTGGGGTGATCGTTAATAATAATAAATCTTCTCATTTTTTCTTGTCACTAAAACATAAATTTATTATAACAATTTTCTGTCCATTAATATTTGCTTTAGTTTTAGTTTTATTTTAATTTTTTTACATTTTTATTAATTAATATTTGATAAAATTAAATATTAAAGTTTAATTTTAAAATATAGAGAGAATCGGTAGCTTTATTCAAATAGGGCTTTAATTTATTAAATAGAAAACGAGATTTTCAGAAAAACCTGGATCCTTGACCTCGATTTCCATTGAGGATCTTGACCAGATTCTTGACCTTGTGTCAAGGAAGAATCAAGAAACTCTGAAAAATGCCTTGATCATGAAACCAAATCTATGAAAAATCAGGATCTGGATCCAGATCCAGCTCGCTCTCTAGTATTCGATAGAAGTTCGGTTTAAGACAAATTTATTGAAGCCCTAGGTTTCAAAAAGCCTTGTTTTTTTATTTTTTAAAGTTTTTATTTCTTTTAATTTCAATAATTCCTAGACCCTTTAGTGTCTCTTCCCTAACACATTTAGGGAACCCTTGAAGAGAAATAAGAAAAGCCTGGATACAGAAGTGACCCTTGGTTAAGCTCTAGAACACTGTTAGATTTTTCAATTTTTGCCTTGTATTATTATGGAAATTTTATAATTTGATTTAGGGCTTCATTATTTTGCAACTAAAATGCTTGAAACAGCTGAATCTCATATTAATAAACTTCCTTCTCTTTGGCAAAATATAACAACTCAACGTGATTTCAATACTTTAAAATTTGTTGAAATTCTAACATCCTCGGATTTTCCTGAAGTCGAAGCACGTAAATGGGTTGATGACAGATATCCCTTAACTATACAGGTTCTCAATTTGATTGATAGTAATATAAGATTATCCTATACAAAATAATAATCTTCTGATTTTCAGACAATTTATTGGTTAGCCAAATCCATTCCCAACAACCATACTTTATATTCTTTATGTTCTTGTTGTACTTATTGTAGCAAGAACCACTCCAAACAACCATACTAGATAAAGTGAAAACTTTTGCCCACTATACGGGAGGTGGGACAAGATGGATGGATGCCTCAGATACAGTCCTAATTTAAATTAAACCTCGTTACAATTACTATTTTAGATATATCCGAGGAGATATACCCGATTTCAAATATACCCCCCACCCTTTTTTTTTAAACTTGAGTAATTATTTTTAATTCAACAGCTTTGCATTCTATATGTTATCGTTGTTTTTGGAACGAGGCATTTTATGCGCAATAGAGAACCATTTTCACTGTTTGTTCCGTTAAATGTATGGAACCTTTTTCTAGCAATTTTCTCAACAATGGGAGCTTTTAAACTTAGTTATGAATTTTTTGAAACAATTCTGACACATGGACTACAGAGTAGGGACTTTTAAATTAATATGTACTTTGTCTTAAAGTCAAACTTGCCCAAATATATGAACTTTTTCAAAGCGATAACTCACAAGGGGTATAGAGATATGAAATTTTGCATACATAATTGAGTTACTTAATCCAAAAATTTAAAAAATTTTAATTAGATCCAAAAGGTCAAAATTCAAAAAAGTCAACTTTTTATTTTTAGAGTGTGATATGCGCGTGAAGGAATACTGTTTAAGATTTTGTAGGATCCTGCTCCAACGATCCCACATCTTTTTGATTTTTCGAGGTTTTTGTGACGGTTTTGCGATTATTTCTAGAATCCATCCCTTGAATGATTTATATGAAAAATCCCGCATGCGGATCTTCAAACAAATTTCAATTTGTCTAGATAGCGAAATTTCTAGTCCTTAATTTGGCATAACCTTCTTATCTCTCATTATTCATTTCCAATTTTTAAAGGTTCTTATTGCCATGTCCATAATTATACTCTCGGAACAAACGGATATTGGGTCTGGCTTTTTATTGTTAGTAAAATGTTTGAATTGATGGATACTGTCTTTTTGGCAAGTTCAGAATTTTTGTATTGGTTAAGGAATATTTTAGGTATTGAGGAAACGACCATTACTGTTTCTTCACTGGTACCACCACATTCTTGTGAGTTTATTATAAATTTTTGGAAAAATATCTTTTGTCAAATAATCAGTTTTAGAGACCAATTACATCGGTTAAAAAACTTGTACAAACTGAACCGAGAATTTTTTGTTTATTTAAATAATTTCGAAGAATTTTTAAAAATTTTATTGATCGTTAGAACTGCCCATATTTAGTTTCCAAATTTTCCTCCCATCCTACTTGTTTTTGTAGAAATTCATTTAATTTTGTTCCGAAGGGAAATCGATCAGAACTATAAGTAGTTCTTAGTGATTGGTCTCGATTCATAAGTGATTTTTGAAAAATCCAAACTAGCTTTTTTGGCGTGCTTTAATATTAACCTAGTAATTTAATGTTGATTAAATCTTAGCTCAAGGCTCAAGGAGTACTGACTTTTTCATTTTAAAAATAAATTCTTCTAGGGTACAGCCCAAGTAGGCGCGCGGCCATAACATGCAAAACATGATTTTCGAATCTTATCAATCTAGTATTAAACCTTTTTCTCATTGAGCTTAAGAGATAAGTACCAAGATTGATAAGGGTTAGAAATTTCCATAAAGTTATGGGTTTGCGCCTTTAAGGCCTCGCGCCTACTTTGGCGTGTCCCTTCTGAGTAATTTATAAAAATTGGTTTAAAATTTAATTTTGAAAATCCTAGTAAATAATAAAATACCTTTATTTTTTATTATAGACTATGCTATATGCCTTCTATTCCTACCCTATTACACCAGCATTCAATCGGTGGGGCATCTACCTAAACTATTTGGTACATTCATATATGTACTCTGTTAGTGATTTGTTAAATTAAAATAAATTTTTTGACATTTTAAAGTATTATTTTCTTCGCTCAATGAAAATTAAAGTGCCTGGCCCAGTTGCTAAATTTGTAACTACTATTCAAATTTGGCAATTTATTATTTCTGTTGCCATTCTAATACATCTTGGATGGTTAACTTTTGTAGAAAATGTAAAATTTATTTTTGTGTTAGTGAAAACTTCAATAAGCTTAGTAGTATAATAAAGGTCTCGAACCAAAAAACGTAGCAAAATGTCCTCGATTCCTTGGTTAGGTTTATGATTTCTAGATTTTCTAAGAGCCACAACCCTGATTATCATTCTAGTTTAAATCGTTTTAGCTTCTGATTGTTAATTTAAGAATGGTATTCGAATAGAGAAAAAATATGAATAACCGAAAAATCACAAAAGGATTTTTAAATAATTTTGCTTGAACTGAATACTAATAAAATAACCAGGGTTGGACACAAACGATTAACTAGTAATATCACAAGCGGTTATCCTACCCTGAATAGAAACAACCAGAGAGTAAAAATACTAGACCTAAAATTGTGGGTGCCGTTAATAACGATTGTGTCGAGTTTTAAACAAAATTCAATTCAGGTTAAATGCGACTTGGATAGTAAAGTTTTTGCATTTGCTGTTAGCATGGATGGTATATTCTAAAAATAAATTTTAAAGAAATATTTTTAATAATTTATTATAGTCAGTTATTTAATTTTATTCATTAATTTCTTCCTTCATGCCTATGTTTTGAGAGGTGGAAAGACAAAATATCGAACTGATAAGGCTAGTAATGGGTCTGCTAATGCAAAAAAGGATGAACAATCAAATCCTGTTGGTATTTTATACAAAATTTTTAAATTGTTGAACAAGTGTTTAGTAATAGTCAGGATTTTTAGGGGATTTACGTTAACATTTTCGGATGAATTATTTTTAGATTTATTTTTGTAATGGTGCAAAATATTAGAATTATTAATTTGGAGGTATTTAGAAAACTTTTGACTTGTGAATCGAAACAGTCTGCGTTCTTACAGATTGGAATTATTCGTGAAAATCTTTGGATTAAAAGTGTAAAGGACCGAAAATCCTTGCTCTTCGGTTCGATTCCAAATCGAAAAGAACCTACTAATTAGAGACCGGACTGGGAGTGTCATACGAGATTCGAGATCTCGAAAGATTATAAAACTCGATAACCGAGATTTTCGATCGAGATCTCGTCTTGTTCCGGTCTCTATTATGAAGTGCATACATTTAAAAAATATTTCTAAGCTATTTAAAGAAATAATCATCTTTACTGAATTTTCTGATATTTTTTAAAACAATAATGCAACCAAAATAAAAAATTAATATATTATAATTTAGAGTGAAGCATTGTTTTTGAGCAATGGTGAATTGCGCAAGAATGAACAGGAGAAATCAAAGGAGAAATTAATTAATTAAACTTAATGCTTAAAAAATAATTTTTGACAAATATACTTAAAATTATTACATATATTAATAGGAATTATATGTGGCAAATAATATTTTAAATTAAGTTAAAATTATTTTAGATAATTTTTTAAAAGTATTTTTGAATTAACGCAATTTTATATTTTTTGTTGTATTCTAATTTGAATTAAAAATTTAGAACGTTTATTTGACATATCTGCTTATTTAAGTATGCAAACTCTAACCTCTTCACTTAACTTTTTGAAGCAAAAATTTTAATGATCTTGCGCTAAGAGTAAAAGAAAGGAAATTCTTTTTTGAGCAAAAATTTCTGAATAATTTAATGAAAATTGGCATTTTGTCCATATTTTCAATATTTTAGCCCAGATTGGGCCAACACAACCCAATTCAAATGTCCATAGGACTTTTTAATATATTTTAATTTTCACATGCAGATTAAAAAAAAGAATTTTCAAGTAAGATAAACATTTTTAATTATAGTGTTATATTTAAATTAAAGATTCTAAAAAATATAATGCTTCTAATAATTATATACTATAATAGAAAAATATTTTTTGTTTGCCTTTTAGAATGTACTTAAATAAATGGCAGGTAAAAATTTTAAAATTTAATTCAACGAAATTATCTTTTAAAATATTTTAAAAAATTGTAAATAAAACAATTTCTAAAAATTCTAAAAAATGTCCGGTGATTTAATAGATATTTTATTTAAACTTGATTATTGGACATGCTTATTACTTGGTTATCCTCTAAACATTATTCTGATTATTTTAATTATTTTTAAAACACCAAATGAAATGAAAACACACAGCAGAATTCTGATACAAAATTGTGTTTTGGATATTTTTTTATTGACGTTTATAATGTTATTGCAAATGGTTAAACTTTTAGAAATTCAGAATTAAATTTGAACTTTAAGATTTACCTAAGTGACAGCAATGGGAATGCAATTTTTATTTTTACTAATGGCATTTTCTTTGAATTCATGAAAAATAATTTCAACAAAATCATTTGCTTAAGTTATTTATTTATCGTAAACTCTTTCTCCATTGTAAATTTGTATGGATTGTGTGCCCAATTTGTTTATAGATATTTAATTCTGAACAGGTAAAAAGAAACAAAATCAGAATTAATTCAAAACAAAATCAGAATTAATTCAAAACAAAATCAGAATTAATTCAAAACAAAATCAGAATTAATTCAAAACAAAATCAGAATTAATTCAAAACAAAATCAGAATTAATTCAAAACAAAATCAGAATTAATTCAAAACAAAATCAGAATTAATTCAAAACAAAATCAGAATTAATTCAAAACAAAATCAGAATTAATTCAAAACAAAATCAGAATTAATTCAAAACAAAATCAGAATTAATTCAAAACAAAATCAGAATTAATTCAAAACAAAATCAGAATTAATTCAAAACAAAATCAGAATTAATTCAAAACAAAATCAGAATTAATTCAAAACAAAATCAGAATTAATTCAAAACAAAATCAGAATTAATTCAAAACAAAATCAGAATTAATTCAAAACAAAATCAGAATTAATTCAAAACAAAATCAGAATTAATTCAAAACAAAATCAGAATTAATTCAAAACAAAATCAGAATTAATTCAAAACAAAATCAGAATTAATTCAAAACAAAATCAGAATTAATTCAAAACAAAATCAGAATTAATTCAAAACAAAATCAGAATTAATTCAAAACAAAATCAGAATTAATTCAAAACAAAATCAGAATTAATTCAAAACAAAATCAGAATTAATTCAAAACAAAATCAGAATTAATTCAAAACAAAATCAGAATTAATTCAAAACAAAATCAGAATTAATTCAAAACAAAATCAGAATTAATTCAAAACAAAATCAGAATTAGTTCAAAACAAATTCAGAATTAATTCAAAACAAAATCAGAATTAATTCAAAACAAAATCAGAATTAATTCAAAACAAAATCAGAATTAATTCAAAACAAAATCAGAATTAATTCAAAACAAAATCAGAATTAATTCAAAACAAAATCAGAATTAATTCAAAACAAAATCAGAATTAATTCAAAACAAAATCAGAATTAATTCAAAACAAAATCAGAATTAATTCAAAACAAAATCAGAATTAATTCAAAACAAAATCAGAATTAATTCAAAACAAAATCAGAATTAATTCAATTTTCATTCCTCCAATTTTCTTTCATTCCTCCATAAAAATTTTTAAAAAATAATCTTCATGGGAAACGCAAAAAGACCCTGCACATCGATTAATACAGACAGTGAGATTGATCAAACACCGATCCTAACACAAACACAACTTGAACAAATTTCCTGTAATGTTGTGCAACTTCTCACACCAATAATCGAAACAACTATAAAAACATTATTTCAACAAATTCAGCAACAACTAAACATTAATCTTCCTCAATCCGAGCCCCAACAACAAAAAACATCTCGATGGGGTTGCCCCCCAAACTTAATGCCACCAAAAATTAAACAAGCTGCAATGACAATTGAACAGCTTCAACAGCCCGTATTTGATGAAAATTTGAAAGAACTTTATAAAAAGAAGAGTTTTTACGCAGTCATTGAAAGATTTCCAGAATTGGAAAATGAGGAAGAAGACTTAAAGAACATAGAAAGAAATGTTCAAATAGTAATAAACAACAAAAACTTTAAGGAAGCAAAAAATTTCGAAATTAAACGACACGGGATCAAGAAGCAAAACAATTATCATCGAATCATCAAAGTTAAATTTTCGACTCCAGCTGCCGCACATTCATTTATTAATCAATATAGAACAATACACAAACCTACCTTAGGTGGGCATAGTCCTTTCGCAAGAAGGGACTTAACCCCACCTGAACTACAACTACAAAACTACCTCAAACAACAGGTTAAAGAAATCAATACAAAACATGGAAATGGCACAGCTTCTTATCGTAATCTTAAAATTTTTTATAAAAAGGAAGTGAACATGGACTAGGATTTAGGGACCTCACAGAAAAATAATCACACAAATAATAGAAAATTACTAAATTTAAACTGCTTACTTCTAAATATACGCTCCATTAATTCAGAAAAAACCGCAAATAAATTATTTGAGTTAGAAAATTATTTAATTAAAAATAATATTCATGTAGCCTTTTTATGTGAGACATGGCTAACTGATAATACATCGAACGAATCCCTTCTCACTTCTAATAGTTATGACTTTATTAGAGTAGATAGATTAAAAAAAAGAGGCGGGGGCGTAGGCGTAGTTTATAAAAAGGAAATAAAAATTATTAATATCCCGACACTTTCGATATCCGAATACAATCATGAGCTCCTTACCTTCGATATTTACTCAGAATTTAAAAGAATTAGATTCCATTTAATATATAGGCCGCCAAATACAAAATTAGTCGATGATAAAAAATTTTGGGGATTAATAAAGAAAAAATATAAAAATGATCTCTCAAATATTATATTAGGGGATTTAAACTTTCCGAAAATAAATTGGCAGGAGTTTACACTTCCGAAAGATAATCAGAACTTATATTTCTACAATACCATAAATAAGCTAAATTTAAATCAGATAATAAAAGAACCAACCATGTATAACACTTCCCATACACTAGACCTTATTTTTCAAAATAAGCAATTAATAGAAAAATACAAAATTATAGATGATTTGGTGTTGAGTGACCACAAATCTATAGTATTTGAAGTAGTTTTTCCTGTAGAAAAAGTAAACTCTAAAGAAAAAAGAAAGGTACTATTATTTAAGAAAGGAAAATATAAAATAATCAATTGGTATTTAGCCCAATATGATTGGTACAATATATTTAAGGACAAGAATCCCTCTGAAATGGCAGAAATACTAAATTCCATAATAACCCAAGCAATTCAAAAATTCATCCCATTTAAAAAATTTAGTGAAAAAACCCCTATGAAATATCCTAAAGAGATTAGGGAAATAATCAAACAAAAAGCTGATGCATGGAAAAAGCTAAAATTAAGGGAAATTAGTAAAGATAATTATAAATGTCTTGAAATTAAATGTAAATTACAAATAGAAAAACATAAAAACAATTATCTATCGAAAAAATAGGATCTGGGCATATAGGGGAAATACATAAATTAATGAAGAGAAATCGATTTAAATACGCTGGTATACCTATACTTAACGAATCTGAGGAAAACGACCCCATAGTATTAGATATAGACAAGGCAAATAAATTTAGAAATATTTTTGAAGAAATAGTTAGCGGAAGTAAAAACAATATACAAGCAAGCTTCGAAGCTAAGGATGGATATCAGGAAGAAATCATTTTTGAACCTTATATAATAGAAAAACTACTAAAAAAGCTCCCAAATAAATTATCCCATAGTCCTGAGAATATCAATCAATATTTTCTAAAAAAATGTGCTACCCCCTTAGCTCTTCCTCTCTCAATTTTATATGAAAATACATTCAAAACAGGAATAGTCCCTGAATTATGGAAAATAGCTCACATTCTACCGATATTTAAAAAGAAGGGTTCAGTAAACGACCCAAAAAATTACAGACCAATTGCATTAACATCCCCAACTTGTAGAGTTTTTGAGCGCATAATAGCAAATAACATATTAGAACACCTTAATAAACATAAATTAATTGCTGAGGAGCAATTTGGATTTCTACCTAAAAGCTCTTGTACACTACAAATTTTATCATCTATGCAAGACTAGTATAATTCACTTGATAGGAAAATAGGTACGGACGTCATATATTTTGACTTTGAGAAAGCCTTTGATAAGGTAGATCACCAAATACTTATAAGAAAATTACAAGAAATAAAAATAGATAGCTTAACAATTAGATGGATAGGAAATTTTCTCTCAAATCGATCTCATATTGTAAAAATAGGTGATCATTTCTCTGAACCATTCCTGCCAAAAACAGGTGTTCCCCAAGGAACTGTATTAGGACCATTGCTGTTCCTGATATATATAAATGACCTACCCAAACA